CTTTCTTTCTTCTTTCCCTGTTTTTCCCTTTTCTCTGGTTCCTTCAACCAGAGCCGCCGCCGCCGCCCCAGGTCTCCTTCCTTCCTCCTGCTCCACCGACGCCATCGCCGCTCCTCACGCGCGCCACCTGGAGCCCGCCGCCCCCTCGCGCGCGCTACCCCAACCCGTCGCCCACCACCCGCAGTCGCTGAGCACCACCAGATCCAGCTGCCGCAAACTCTTCTCTCTCACAGCCACCACCTTCATCGCACCACTGGCTTCGTATGCACGCGCCTGCCTCAATCTCTTTCTATTATTTTTTTTTATTTCCTTATTTTATTATTGCAGTATGTTTTTATTATTTTTATTACAGTACGTTTTTGAAAATTTTACGTGTTTGGACTACCTGACATTTCTATTCATCCTTAGTTGGATACTTCTGTGTTACTTTGCTTGTTTCTTTTTACTTTGCTTGATTTTTATTTATTTAGTACAATTTGGAAAGAATGGTGAAACCACGATCCCGACCCTTTGACCTCCGCTCCGCCTCCTCCAACTACAGGTGCTAATAGCTGGCACCAGCTTCAGGGGAGTTTCGTTGTCCTTCTTCTTATTTTTACTGTTTCATTATCACATTGAGGGCAATGTGTGATTTAAGTGTGGGGGGGATTTGGGTTTAGTTTTGATTGGTGTTTCTTTAATTTACTGCCTTTCTTACTAGTGTTTTGATGAATAAATATGGCAATTCATTCGTTTATTGCTGGTTGTGATTTATCCTATGAATTTTGTTTAGATGGCAAGTAAACGCATGTTATCTTGGTGAATATCATGAGTTTAATGACTTGGTGCAAATTGTGATTAACTTGTTTAGGCAATTTAAATATTTTATTAGCAATTGTTATGTGGATTGGGCAATTGTTGATCTTAGTTCTCCATATTAGGAGATGACGTGGGCCATGATCTTTAATTATCTGGTATTCTGATACTTTAATTGTGATTAATAAATGACTCTACTCCGCTAGTGCCGTCACCCAATAACCGGGAGTCTTCACCACAAGTGTCGACTTTCGCGTCAAAAAGTGGCGATATCTATGAGTAGTTAGTCCTGAAGCTGTGAAAAGTTGAGTAACTGGGCTCTTTCATCTAAAAATGTCAGAGTTCACGTCAAAAGACTTGAATAGCTTGGGACTGAGCATTTTTGAAAAAAAAAAATTAATTGTTAAAAAAAAAAAAAAGAGAGAGAGAATAAAATAATGTGTAAACTTATGATCATATTGGCCTGCCGATCCTTGTTCTTCAATGTTGAGATTTTGATTTTCAGTTGACCCAATTGCTAACTTTTGCTAGTTTAATATTTTAATTTCTTAGACGAGTTAGCCATGAATTGGACGAGTCTATGATTTCAGGAGCTAATCGGGAGAAATATGTCTTGACACTTAGCCACTAAAACTTGATTTTGGGATAAGCATAGCTTGGCAGTAAATGAAATGAGAGTTAGCCATTGTTGAATTTAGTTGTTCCCATGCTTGAGGACAAGCATGATTTAAGTGTGGGGGGAATTGATAGGATGTTAATTGTTAGTAATTTTATTGTTAATTTTCCTTTTTATCCTTGCCAAATATTGCTTTAATTTGTTTTAATTGTCAATATATATTTATATTTGGTATTTGGATATAATTTCAGAAATGGGAGCAGAAACCTCTTGAGAAGATTATTGTGGAACTTTGCACAATTTTGGTGCAAACCAACGTAGAAGAATGGAATTGCATTTGGGAATTCAATTTGGCTAGACAACATGTCAAAGTTAGTGGGGACCGCAAATAAGTTGTATTGTCTAAAGTGTGCTTTCTTTGCACATTTTTGGTTTGCTCTCTTATTTGTGAACGTGTGCACTTGGTCAAAGGGAACCGACAAACCATAGTTGGCTTTGCTTTTGTTTTCGGTGGAGTTGATTAGGTAAGGAAGGAATGTTTTTCTTTTGTGAGCGTGGAGTGAAGTTTGGAATTGGCTTGTTTTTATGCGGGGGAGAGCCGCACATTTCGGGGGTGAGTTTTTCTTCCTCTCTTCCGTCTGGGAAGAGGAGTTTTAGTTTTTCTCTCCGAGGGATGTTCCAGAGGAGAGAATAGGGAGTTGTTTTGGTTTGTTGAATTCTAGTGTGCAATTTTCTTATTCTCTTCTGAGAGCTTTGTTATTCACTCTCTCAATTATCGAAGAAAGATGATGTCTTTAAATTCAATTGAATTGTGTGAAGATTTTCTTATGAGGCGTGGCTAATTTTCTCCTCTAGTCAAGGATCAACGCGAAGACGCAGTCCCAAATATCTGTGAGATCTAATTAATTTTACATGTTCCTTAATTTGTTAATATTTGCATGTTTTCTATTTTAATTTCCATGGGATTATTTTGTTAATTGGATATCAAGGGCCCGATGTGCAATTTGACTTTTTAATCTCTTGTCAAATTAATCAATTAAATCCGTAATTGTTTAGTTGGTTAATATTAGTGGCAACTAGTATTTTCACATACTAGGAGAACATGCAATCTGATTTAAATAACCCTCGTAGCGTGTTATTAATTTGGGTTAGGCTTTTCTAGTTTTTAATGCAATTAGGAAATTAATTCCTACGGTCGTACCTAGGAGTATTTTCTAGTTAGAGGTAATCAACGGTCGTACCTTGGTTATCAATAAATTAAGGAAAAGCTGGTCGTTAGAGCTTATCGGCGACTATAACTAGCCTATTAATTAAATTAAGTGAACCTTCTTTGCATCAATAATCGGATGAATGAACTGTGTCTGCGTAGTTGTATCCTTGGCTAGAATTTATTTATTATTTATTTAATTGCTATTTACAATTGTATTAATTAATTATTTATCTTTGGTTAAATTGTTTAATTATTTTTAGTTAAATTGTTTAATTATTTATTTTTAGTTTTATCTGATAAAAATCCCCCGTGTCCCGAACTTGAAAAGAATCGAATTTTTTTCCAGTCCCTGTGGATTCGACCCTACTCACTACTATACACAGAAAATTCATTTTTCTCGAGTAGGTATTTTTTATTGCACAGGCTCGACACCTGTCAGCCTCAAGCCAGCATACTCACCTACACAAACTACTGGTGCTCCAGCCATTGCTTCCTTCTCTTCTAAAGGTCCAAATCAAATCTTTCCAGATATTTTAAAGGTACTCAACTCTGTTTTGGAATTCCCTTTAGTAGTTGCTTTTATTCATCAATGTTTACATCAAGATTAGCTACTTTGTTCAGCCAGATATAAGTGCTCCAGGAGTAGACATCTTAGCTGCTTATCCTCCAACTGGTTCACCATCTTTAGAGTATATATATTATCTGGAACATCCATGGCTTGCCCTCATGTCATAGGTGCGACTACACATGTGAAATCATTCCATCCTAATTGAATTGGTCTCCCTCAGCAATAAAATTTGCAAGGATGACTACTGGTAATGCTTTAAGGCAAAATTTTACCATATTTATTTTCCTTACATATGTTCAGTAACATTTATCCTCGACCGGGAATCCATCGTAACTGTCAAGTTCTGAATTTGCCGAATAGTATTCATATTTTATCCTTACAGTAACATTTATCTCTTTCCCCATACATAATTTTAGCGAACGGGATGCTGGGTTTTTTGTGCAATTTGGTTGCATTATTGTGCATGTTTAAATTTTTGGTGTACAACTACATTATAATATTATAGGTAAATTATATATGACCCCCCTATGGTTTCGTCTATTGTCACATGACTCCTCTAACGTTTCAAAATATCTACTTCAACTCCCTATGATTTCATGTAAAGGGGAAATTTAATAGAAAATAGCCTATGTAATATCATTAATTAAAATATTAATAGTGCCCTTAAATAAATACTAAATCAATTGACAGCTTAATTATCTTATATAAAAGCATAGAAGATTATTTGGATAAATGCAAACATTATAGGGGGTAAAGTGGGTAATTATACTACTCATAAGGGGGTTACATGGAAACGAAAAGATTATGACACATGTATTTAGAGCACGTTTGGTATACACATTGTAATTGATTGTTCGTTTCATCCATTCTCTACTTTACATAAAATCAAAGGGGATTATGTGACTATTTTGAAACATTAGAGGGATTATCTGACATTATGTAAAATTACATAGGGATTATAAATAATTTACCCTAATATTATATTCACTATAGATGAAATATTTTATTCATTTACATCACTGTTTCCATGAATATAACAGTATAATGTAATAAATATCCAATCGGACATAGCATCGGCCCAATTCCAACTTTTAAGAATGAATGGTTGAATACTTTAAGCATATGTGCATCACATTGCCAATTTGGCATCTACAAGTTTCCTCGATTGAACGCCTTAATCGCACCTTTATCTTACTTAGTAATCTTTCATATCACCATCTTTGTTATTTCATGAGATTATCATTTTCAATTGTTTTGGGGTTTACCTTAGTATAGAAATCTCCATTTTTGTTTTGAATTTACACCAAGCTTCCATTTCTTCAATTGTTGAAAGACAAACTTTTCTTACTCTTGATTTTGTGGTAACATTTATATACATGAAGTATGATTGTGTAATAAACTTAAACAAATTATTTTGAGTTATATGACATCTTAGTGTTTGACTGGAGAGATCGTCTAAATTAAAAAAAAAAAAAAAAGGAATTCTCCTATGTAAGTTAAACCAAAACATGAATCAATTTTTTGAAGTGCGGGGAACAAAGTATTTTGACAATCTAATTTAAAACAAGAGATCTGTAAATCCTTCTTACAGATTAATTTAGTAAAACTTCATTAGTTTTGAACTGGTCATCTAGTTCATAAGTTGTTTAAAGAGCCAAAATGCTGATAAAGAAGACAAATCGCACAATGCTATATGTGCTCAAATTTATCCCAATTCCAGTGAACCATTACCACAAGGTTCACATATGCGTTTATTTCTCATAATCTACTTTTCTGGTAAAGTTGTTGGGCATATAAGCTGTCACAAGAACCTTAAATATCTAGCTTTATTTAAGGGCAGAAGACAACCCTATAATTTGTACCACTTGGGCAAGTAAACAAGCTTGTGGGATCATCTTGAGGATAGCTATAAGCATCAGGGCACCTGCTCTTAAAGAACCTGGAGAAGTCGGTCGGGCGGCAGCTTCCTGGGCCATTGGTGCAACAATACTCATTTGTTTTAAAAACAGTGCACGGATTGTGGCATCCACCTGGAGTTCTTAGCTTAGCTGGGCATTGATCAACAATAGGCGCTGAACATCTGATATTACGGCAACGAGTAACGGAGCTGAACTCCATTGGGATGTTGAATCCATCAACGTTGGAAATGTCGATGTAGTCTAAGTTGTTAGGCTGGTTTAGGGAGAATTCAGCTATCGTATTTGGAGGACTTCCATAGCCTTGGCACTCGAGGCGCCCTTTGCAGTCACCTGTTTGACAGTGGCCTTGGCCTTTGGCATCAAAGTTGCAATTGGTTCGGCCCCAAATGCGAGCGTGGGTGGTGCCAGGAGCCACGTTTAGGGACCATGATTTGCCTCGGTCGAGCCGCCTGCCACCGCCTGGGAAAGCAGCTGCCCAAACTGTGTAGGTACATTGGTTTATAATGTTGAAATTTGCAGCATTGGTGAAGGTTAAGGATAAAGTTAGGCACAAAACCAAAAGGGATAAAGTGTAGGTGAACTTCATGGTGTTTCAAACTTTCTAAGTGAACTGGTAGCTGGTTGTGGTTTCAAGATGCCACAGCTTGGGGGTTTATATTGGTGAATAGGAATGATTCAAAAGATGCGGATATGTCAATAATCCTTCCGCATAATTTCAGCCAGCTGCCATCCTTCGTTGTCATTGGTGGAGTTAGGACCTTTATTCATGAGGTGCAATATTAAGAAAATTTTATATTCCCCTTGAGAAACCATTCCCGTAATTTTTATCTTTTAGTGGTAATTAATAGTGGTTCAAATTTTAAATGATTGAAGTAATACAGTCTAAGGGTCCGAAAAACTTATTTCACCATCTAACCATGAATTTGACTTGAGGATACGATACCAAAAGGAGTTGTATAATCTCCTGTAATAATACTAACATAAATTTACAATGTGTTATAGATTTTTGGGATAACTAAATGTCTTTGATGTACTGCCACTTTATTTAATATTAAAACAATTTAAAAAATTGTCTACAACTTGTTTTCATTTGCAAAAATTATCAGGTCTTCTAATGGGATAAAATTACATAGTAATTACAACTATGCATAAAAATTGTATAAAAGTGCATAATAATTAAATTATGCATTGCGTATTAGATGTATATATTCATACATACAATAGGCGGATAATGTATAGAGAGTCAAATGAATATATATATGTTTGATTTGCTTGTAATTCATATAGTTTAATATATATGATAAGCTTAATGTTGAGTGAATAAGATTTGTTAGAAAGAAAATAAAAATAGCATCGTATAATATATTTTATGTTAATGTTGCATTGTAGAAATGATGGTGGTAACTGCATACAATTTTAAAATTTTTGGGTGGGGGGGGGAATTGTAAGGTTAGAGGGAATATTATTAAATTTCAAGGGAGGCAAAAGTTGGGCAACAACAATAAAAGACAAATTTTTATAGGTTATTCTAGAGATTTCAAAAGTTGAGGAGGGTGCAATTGGGCTGGCCTTGACTCCGCCCCTGCTCATTGTTCTTTTTATCTGGTCACGTAAACTTGATTGTTCTTTTAATCGATGCTCCATTTTTTCTCAAGTGTCCAATTCGTGGATTACTTCCACGAAAGACAAAAAGAATCAAAAGACGTGAATTTTCTGTTTGGATGGAGCGTTTTTTTAACCACATTAATTTCAAGAATTACTTTCAATGAAGAAATCAGAATTAAATTACTAACCCTTAATCCCAAGTAAACCTCAAAAACCGGCAACTCTTGAGACCATCCAGGAAACTAATAATCTAACCCTCAACCCCCCTTTGATCGATGTGGGATTAATTTCAGGAATTACTTTCTAACTTCTTTTACTATCACAAAAGCGGCTATTAATAAAATATTATGTTACAATTTTCCTACAAATATCGTTCAAAAGAATTATCTTATCACTTAATTAGTGGAAAGAATTAGCAATATACAGATATTAATTAGCCACATTGAATGACTGACGTGTATGTTCAAAACAAGAAAATGGTGATCATACGTTAAAACATGTTATGACGTAGTGAATGTCAAATTTTCAATATATCGAGAAAGTTTTAGTCTAATAGCTAAAATTGATATGCCTTCTTCCACAGTCGAGAATTTTAACAAGATTCAAGACCCTACTCCTGCCTACATCTGTTTGTCATCCTTCTTTGGTCCGAACCAATTCAAAAGTTAGGCAAATGACTTGAGGAAGCTTAGAAAATTCAATCAGTATATCAAGAGGAATAACACTTCTAACCCTGGATCTATAAAAGTTTCCTGGAGTAAACAAAATAAAACCCATTAGTCCCGTTTGGAGCAGTGTTCAGTTCAAGCAATTTTTTTGAGCATAAACTTCAGTTTTGGCAACTTATCAGGATAGCATTTCAGGTGGCTAAATTGCTAAATTCATGTTCAATCTAAATTTTTTTTTTTTACAGTCGACAATAGTTTACTCTACATATACTCCTACCCCTACTCTAACCTATTTTAAGTGAAGGCCCAACTGAGCCAATGGAAGAGAATCGACGGGAATTGAACCATCATCGAATTAGACGGGTATACAACGGGTATAGTACACACCCGTCTAGATTTTTTAGAGAGCCACATAATATGGCAATTAGGAGATAAGGCTTCCGCTTGGTGGTCACCACTAACCCAAAGGCTGATGGTTTGTTCAATCTAAATTCAGTTACTGTAACTTTTGCCCAGTGTGATTCTCTAGCTTCTTAGTCTCAAGAGTTCCCTTATACAAAAGCAACAACACAAAAGGACAATAAAGGCATGGTATTACTTAATGGTATGGTATGGTATTACCTACCAAGCTAACAGCTTATCTTTTGTAGATAGTTTGGCATACCAGCCAGAGGTTGCTATTACTCAATGGTATGGTATTACCTATCAACCTAGCAGCCTATCCATAAGGGCAGGGACCGTTGCGCTGCCAGGAGGGTTACATCTAGTTGAACAAATTTTAAATCTGTTTGATTAATAATATAAATTTCTTTGAACACAATGTAATTTTAATACACCCTTTTGCGAGATTCACACATGACGCTGAATCATACAATTAGGCCTGTCAATGGTTCGGATTTAGACCCGGACCGGATCCGTGAAATTATTGCGGGTACGGATAGAGATTTAATTCCGTTATCCGGATCCTGATCCGGATCCATTTTGTCAAACAAAAAACGGGTTGAATACGGAATATAGTATTCTGCCACGTATTAGACCCGGATTTGGATATAAATGGATTAATAATTTAAAATATATATATTTATGAATATAATATGATTAGAGTTATGTATTTGAGTAAAGTTAATTTGATAAAATAACGGGCCTGTTTGGAAGTGAGTTTTTAGACCAAATTTTTTACCTACTAGTTTTTTAACAACTTTTGCTACAGGAACCCCAAAAAACTTCCCAAAACTTTTTACCTACACACTTCAAAAATACACAAAAAAAACTTTCCCTTCAAACTTTTTTTCTTTTTCCGCCCCCACCCAACCCACCACATCCTCCGCTGCCGGCCACCACCTCCAGCACCACTTCCGACGCCAGTTACTATTCCGGCGGCCAGTTCCGGCCATACACAAAGTTTTTTTTTCTCTCCCCCCTCCCCTCTTCCCCTCTGCCAGCCCTACCCCCTTCCCCCTCCCCATTTCAGGCAGTTTTTAAATCCTTCATTTTCAAACACAAAAAGTGAACATAGAACCCCAAGAACCGAACAAGCAAAATCATAGCCCAGAAAAAGAAAAAAAGGGGGAAAAAAAAGTCCAGAATGGAGGAATTTGACATCAAATTCAACGTGATGGTTTCCTTATTCAACTGGATGCAGAAGAGGAAATCCTCCGCGACGAAACGTTCCAAGTTCCGTAAATTCCTCGATGCTTTTTGCCGGAAACCGGAGGACTATTTCAGCGCCATCCGGGGGGTGGCGGGAGGAGGGGGTCGTGCTGGGGAAAGGGCAGGGGGTGGCAGGGGAGGGGGTCGCGCAGGGGAGGTAGCAGGAGAAACTGGGGAAAGGGCAGGAGAGGTGGCAGGGGGAGGGGGTCGCGCTGGCAGAGAAAAGGGCAGGGGAAGTGGCGGGAGAAGCTGGGAAAAGGCAGGGGTGGCGGGGGGAGGGGGTCATGCTGGCAGAGGAAAGGGCAGGGGGTGGCAGGGGGAAAGGGCAGGGGGTGGCGGGGGGGAGGGGGTCACGGTCGCAGAGGGGAGGTGGCGAGAGGAGAAGGGGAAAGGGAGGAGAGGGGTGGCGGGCGTAAGTGCTGCTGGGAGGTAACGGGGAGGAAAGAAAGAAAAAAGAAGAAGAAAAAGGAAGAAGAAAAAGAAGAAGAGAGGAAAGAAAAGAAAAAGGAAAGAAAGAAAAGAAAAAGAAAGAGAAAGAGAAAAAAAAAAGAAAAAAAAAGAAAAGGAAAAAAAAAGTTTTTCACTCTACAAAATTTTTCATCTTACAAAAAAAAATTTTCACCTTATAAAAACTTCTACAAAATTTTTTCAAAAACTTCTACAGTGCACTACAGTAAAATTTTAGACAAACTCCTAAAAAACTCAGGTTCTAAATAGGCCCAACTTTTCGGAACAGTTGGTAGCTGTTCTTGGCTATATTTCGTTGAGACACTAGGAGTCTGTTTGAGATTGCGGTATTGCTTGTTCTAAAAAAGTACATTTGGAGAATAAAAGCACTTTTAATGTATTTAATAAGTATCATTTTTTTGAAGTTAGGAGTAAAATTTTTTGCCACGTAGGCATTTTTAATACAAGCTCGAAATTGGCACTTTTAGAGTTATTTCTATATTTTAAAAAATAAAAAATTGATTTTAACCATTTTATCATAAACTTTAACTAAATGAAGAGAGAAATATATTTCAAAAAATTCAGACAAATTTTTATAGGTTATTCCGGAGATTTCAAAAGTTGAGGGGGGTGCAATTGGCCCTCTTTCACTTAGTCGAGAATTTTAACAAGAAGATTTCGGAGCAGTAGAGAGGGCATAAATCAAGACCCTACATCCGTTTGTCATCTTCTCTAGTCCGAACCAAGTCAAAAGCTAGAGCCTATCCTTGAGGGTTGTGGGTAAAGTACCTAGCAATTTATATAAAATACCTATCACGCTAGCTGCCTATCCTTGAGGGTAAAGTATCTATCAATTTATATAAAATACCTATCAAGCTAGCTGCCTATCCTTGAGGGTTGAGGGTAAAGTACCTATCAAGCTAGCAGCCTATCCTCGAGGAGGGTTACATATATTTGAACAAATTGTAATTCTGTTTGTTTAATAATAATATAAATTACTTTGAACACAATTGTAATTTTAATACACCCTTCTGTGAGATTCACACGTAGAGCTTAAATCAATCGAGTAGTTCGAAAGTTCGTTAGAGCTCGACTCATTAAAACTCGAGCTCGACTCGTTAATTTTGGTTAACAAGTCGAGCTCGAGCTCGAAACAGGCTCGTTTAGTTAACAAGCTCGGCTCGTTTGATACTCGAGTAGCTCGTTAGAACTCATTAATGAAGGGCATATTTGTTATTTTAAAAATCAAAATTATAAAAATTAAAAATTATAGATTTTTATTAAAGTTAATTTGCACGAACTCGAGCTCGAGCTCAAGCCACATGTATATTTAACGAGCCGAGTTCGAACACATTTTAAAACTCGTTTTCCTAACGAGCTCGAGTCGAGTTCGGCAGCCAAATACTCGGCTCGATTAACAGCTCTATTCACACGTGATATTGAATCATACAATAACTTTTTGAAACCGTTGGCAGCTATTCTTGCTTCTTTTTTTTTTTTTTTTTTTTGAGATACTGGGAGTCTGTTTGATATTACGGTACTGCTTGTATTGAAAAAGTATATTTGGAGAATAAAAGAACTTTTAAGGTATCATTTTTTGAATTTAGGAGTAAAATTTTTTGGCACTCAGGCATTTTTAATACAAGCTCGAAATTGGCACTCTTAGAATTTTTTTCTATATTTTAAAAAAATAAAAATTTGATTTTAACCATTTTATCATAAACTTTAACTAAATGAAGAGAGAAATATGTTTCAAAAAATTTCAGAATTATACATTATTAAGTAGAAAATACTTTAACAAAAAAAAAAGAATATCTACTAGCTAAAAAACCTTTTCCTCCGCAATCCTAAATAGGCACTGGGATACATTTGTTTATCAGCAAGACTTGACTGGGAATTCCCAGCTATTTAGGGTTCAGATTACAGGATATTAATATTACCCTAGCTTTTATTGTAGTAGGCTGCTAGTGACTGTAAGGCAGTTTATACTATACGAGAGGAGGGGAAACTTGAGAGCAGAATTAAGTAACTTATACTGACATGCCTTTTTTTTTTATTGTGAGTAAAAAGGCATGTAACGAAGATGATATTATTATCACCAGCTGATGCCAGAATGTTTGAAAATCCTTAATTAACATTTATTGTCTTTGTGTTATTTTTTCTTCAAGGAAAAAATGTCTATCACAAAAAAAGGGAAAAAAAATAAAAAATTAGAATTGTAGCAAGCATTTCATTCATTTTAATCTTTAATTCTTTCTCCTTATTCCTTATCCTCCAAATTTTTTTTTAATTAGAGACAATTATAATTGATTGGTTTTGTTTCCGCATTTAGTGTGCAAAAAGTACTAAAAAAACACGACATGGTTATACCAATATACACAGACGTGTAAATAGCTAAAAACTAAAAGAAATGGACTATGTATCTTTTGCTTTATTTCTGTCGTATAGTGTCGTGCATAGCATACAGCAATATTTTCCTACCATTTATGATTTGCATTGTGTTGATGCATGTTTATATAATGTTTCAAAACAAACTAAGATTTCTATTTATCTTTTTTTTGGATATTCAACTTATTTACTATTTAAAAGGAAAAGAAACTATTATTTCTTAAGTTAGTCATAATTGGTGTATGATTGACAAAACTTGCAATAAATAGTTTATAATAATTTTCTATATTTGTTTTTGGTTTTATTAACAAAATTTGCAACTTCAATAGTATATGTGGGGTTTTCTCTTTTTTTTTTTTCTTTTTTTTTCAAGGAGAGACTTCAAACCTTAAAAAGGAATAAAAGAGAAGCGATTGAGAGTCGACTCATATAGCTTACAATCACATGAGTAATGTTCTTGCCAACCAAATTGAATCTTGGGGCGTATATGTGTAGTATTAAAACTCAAACGGATTTTCATTTTTGTAAATTAAATTCTTTGGGCTGTTGGGAGTACGACCCAAAATTGATAATGGACATTCGCTAATAGACACCGCTCTACACTCAAAAGCACTAGGAGCCCAATCAGAAACCCCCAAATTTGTTAGCTCAATCCATTTCAGTAGAGTTAATAAAGATAATTAAGCTAGTACCAACTGAATCCAAAAGAATGAATTTGAAAAACACATCACAAACAACTGTCATTAGGATTCCATTTATCATAATCAACAAAATTCCAAAGAAATAACATGAGAAAATTGTTCTTAATTAAAATAGTAGCCTATGATTAAAAAAAAAACCCATTCTTAATGACAATTGGACGACTAATTTCTAAAACAAAAATGGTAATTAACCACAATAGTGTTTGGAAAATAAGGCACATAATAACTATGAAAATGCATATTTTGTACCAAGGATTAAGCTTCTCTGCAAGTCACAATAAGCTTCGAAAGGCCGTGATTTTTGTTTTGATGCATCTCTTTCTTTGACATGAAATGTAAATATTTTGCTGATTCTTATTTTTTCCAGTATTATTTTGAACTAAGAAATGTTATATATTTTCTTTGTCCTGTAGGAAGGAAAAAAATGGAAGGTAGTTTGGTCAATTTACGCCTCCACAAACAAGCATAACGGATAAGTCATGCCATCTGAAATAGGCGAGGAGGCGTTGCACATTAAATTTAGATTTCAAAAATATTACCATCACAATTGTTAGAGGAACGTGTTTCCTTTACAACGTTAACAAAATCTAATGTAATTTAAGCAGACAAGTTCATAAAAGTACAGCTCATTTTTGCATTCAAAGATAATTTAAATGAAAACTTTGTTGTGGTGGGGAATATATATATATATATCACAACCTCAAGGAAAAGTTAAAACATGGTTTTGGTTGTTAGTTTTTCCAGCCTCAATAATCGCTATGCTTCTATTGAGAAGGCAACAATGGCTATTCTACTCTTTTTGGTTTTACAGCTTTTTATTTCTAATTTATTTATATATATATATATATATATAATCAAGAAATTATACATGATTATATATGTATAGTTTAATTTATTATTTTTTTTGATTTCATGATGTGATCCTTCTATCAATAAGTTAATGGCATTGTAGTGGTAAAGGGTTTTTTTTCCACCCCCCTTCCCCCCAAAGTTCTCATTGGCCCATTATCCCTTCTCCTTCTAAAGCTGTCCAAACAAATGAGGTAGTTTTTTGATACTAATTATGCACAAGAATGGGCATGCATCTTTGATCTTTTTACTATGTCCAAAGAGAGAGAGGCTTACCCTACTAAGAACCATTTTGTACCCATGAAGTTTTCATTTGATACTGTATGATCCTTAAATTCTTTGATGTTAGGAAAAAGATATTTGGGTGGATTAAATAAAGGTGAAGAAACAGTGGTGGAACCACATGTAGCTTGCATTCCCCCCCCCCTCCCCCCACCATTTTCCCCCTTCATTTCACATTTTTAAGGAAATTAGTTTTTAAGTTTAGAAAGTCTAAAAATTTTTAAAGTTGCTCTTATTTTCCCATTTAGAATTTATAAAATTCAATTTTCCATCTATATTGCCTGCCCTAAATAATTAAATATTCATAATTATTACCCTTCCCAAGAACGTTAGACCTATTTAAAGCTAAAAATGAATATTACCCTTCATAAAAATTCTTTCGACGTTTCTAAACTCAAATAGATAGAATGGTTTTCACTTTTGAATTTATGCACAACTTCACTTTGAAAGTATAATTAATTCAGAAAGAAAAAAAGGTATATTTAATATAGGCATTGTTGCACTTAACTATTCTATTACTACATTTCATGTGCTATCTGAGATTGGCCCCCCTTGATGCTAGGATCTTGGCTCTCTAAGAGGAGCATAAGGGGCAAAAGTTTATGCTAAAAAAAAAAGAAAGAAAAGGAATTATAATAAACAATGGTTAAAATTGTCTATATTTGGATATAATCCCTGTCGTTAATTGGCAATGGTAGCTGCTGATCCCCTCTGTTTTCATGTCTATAAAAGTATTAAGTTTCCAGGGTTATATATATATATATAT